GAGGTGGATTTTTCACCTAAATGCTTTCTTCCTTTGTGACCAACAACCCCTAATTTGGGGAGGACAAGCTGCCCCAACGGTTCCTGACCTTATGAAAAGTTGTGGGGCACCGCCTCCACGGTCCCAGAGCTGTGGGAGCAAGCTTCCCTCACTGCCCCCTCCCCCGGTACCCGCGCCTATGTATGAATCTATGAAATTATGTTGGTAGATTTCCGATTTCGATTCCTCCAGCTGGGGGGGGGGGGGGGGCTCAAATACATTACGAGCCCCCCCAGCCGAAAAGTTGGGCTCAGCCCCCGCTAGCCCCCCCCCCCCCCTCCTCCCCCGGTTCCCGCGCCACTGATGTGAACTCTTATGTCCATTGCGCGCTTCGGCGTTTTATGCCGCAAAATAATCGGTGAGTCTTGTAGTGATACGTTTCACCAGACCTCACCAGTAGTGGCTTCACCAGGCTCTATCAACTGGATGGCCGTACACAGGCGGACCGTAAACTTGTATAATTAGTAATATTGTCGAAAAACGGCCGGGCCGAGCATCAGCACAGTAAGAAAATGTTCGACGTATGTAGACGAGTTATTCGGCATGGAATGCGCAAGCATTCACATGGATGCAACCTGATCATCGACCAACCTGGATCCATTTAGTTCAATCTTCAGAGGCTGTTGTACTTTGCCAGACCGTTTGAAAACTGACTAGGCCGTTTTCAAACCGTCTAGGCCGTTTCAAACTGCCTAGCCCGTTTTCATACGGCCTGATATTTCAGGCGGTTTGCAAACGGCCGGCTTTTTCAGGCCGTTTTCAAACGGCCTGACTGGGCCAGGCCGTTTGCAAACGGACTGGGTTTTCATACGGTCTGTAACATATATATATATATATATATATGTTACAGGCCGTATGAAAACTCAGTCCGTTTGCAAACGGCCTGGTCCGATTCAGGCCGTTTGCAAACGGCCTGGACAGCCCAGTCAGTATGCAAACGGACTGAAAAGTCAGGCCGTTTGAATACGGGCTGAAATTCCAGGCTGTATGCAAACCGCCTGAAATTTCAGGCTGTTTGGAAACCGTCTAGGCCGTATGACAACTTTCGAGACACCAGGCCGTTTGCAAACGGTCTAGGCACTTTGAAAACAATCTGGTCTGCATGAAGATAGCTGGACAACGTTGAGTTTGTTGAAGCACGACCATTTCATGACATTACAAGGCACCATGAAATCATGGTCAGGAAGAGATTAGCAAAACTGAGGCCCGGCCCGTATAACGCCCGGTCGACCCGGGCTTCCCCCCGGACTTCAAAGTTTCGCCTTCCACCGCAATGGTCAAGTATTGCCGGCGTACGCCACCGGCCAGCCGCCGGCGGTCAACCGGGCGCGGTGAGGACCGGGATATGATGAAGTTTTCATACAACACCACCATACTTCATACAACACCACCATACTTCAACCCGCGCCGGGCCGGTGCTCCGAGATTCCGCGCCGGGCCGGGGGAGGGTGTCTGAACACCCCCCCCCCTTCTAACTCGGCTCCTGGGGCCACGTAGCGACACGCGGTAAGCGACAATCGAAAGAACGTCCAAAATAAGGACGAAAACACTCAGTCATTTTTTGGGTCAGGTCAAAGGTCAGGTCACCAGAGGTCACCAAAGGTAAAATGTTGACTATTTCAACATTTTGGAAACTGCCGACGGCTATCTGGGGAACCGATAGAGCTACAGCGCCGGAGAAAAACGCATTCAATAGCCATTTTACAGACCTTTCTGGAGGTTGCTGTCAGATTGACCTTAGGTCAACGGTTTAGCCTCCAGAGAGCAAAAACTACAAAAATAGTCGTTTTTACGGAAAGCGTTTTTCCGGCAATAACTTTTGACTCAGAAAGAGCCATAACATTACTTTTGCCAGCATCGTGTTCCTCTCGTCGAGACGCGTCGAATGAACTATAATTTGACCTTGAAAGGTCAACTTGAAAATTTGACCTCAGGTCAAGGTAATGACCTGACCGGAAAAGGTCATGTTGCATATCAGTCGATCTGCAACGTCGAGCCGAACACATCTAAGGCGTTTTCAGCGCTCTAGCACGCCTCTATCAGAAGTTATTAGCGAAAAGCTGTTAGATTCTGTTCGTGACCTGAGATGACCTCGGGGACATAACAAGGGGTCACAGTTGCCAGTTTCCGGTTCAGTGTGTCAATTTTACCAACATCTCGATGTTTGAGAGTGTCTAGAATAACTTGCGTGCAAAATAGACGCTTTTCATTTTTCTCCCATTGACTTATAATGGAGAGGCCGCAAAATTGACCTGACCTTAGGTCACCGATATCAAAATTCCGAGATAAACATTTTATAGATAACCCTCGCCCGTATTGGTGTTTTTCCAGCCGCGAACGTATAAGGGGGGGGGGGGTCCGTTGGACCCCCCCCTTGCCGTTTCGCCCCTGATCGAGCTAGAGCTTCGCGGAAAAAACGAGCGTGTTGCCCGTGACAAAAGGAAGCCGATGATACCCAATTTTAAGGTCCTAGGTCATTGGTTGACCTTGCAGGTCAGGTCAATGACCCCAAAGGCGGGAAAATCGGGACCTGTTAGAACGTCGTAAAGTGTGGCTGCTATGGGGTTTTTCGGGGTGCTGATCACGAATATCATGTTAGTTTTGATCACAGATGATGTCTTCATGTATTTAGCCCAGTTCGGGTCAGGTCAGGTCAGGTCAACCAGTAAGGGTATTCGTAGTAGGTGGCAACCGCCTCTGACAGCTTCGTAACATGCTACGAAGGCACCAAAACTACTTCGTAGATGTTCATATGGTTGCTAAATTCGAATTCAGCTCCAAAAACTGGCCTAGAAACATGTAAAACTCGAAAAAGTGAACCGAGGTCATCAAAGGTCAATGACCTGACCTGACCTTCAGGTGACCTTGACACCCACCCTAATGCATGGGGGCAACATCATATCACATGTTTGAACGCTTGAAACCACGAAAAGACCGCAAACGCGCGGCTAATGCGAGCCGACATACGCCGAATCGCGATTCCAGCCAAACATGGTCTCGAAAAGTAGGTCACAGGTCAAAGGTCATTTGGGTCAGGGTCATGAAATTTTCAGGGTAGGTGTGAAATTGATGAACGCGAAGGTACTGAAAGTTTCGTCGCGATCGGCCTTTTTACGCGAGTTATTCGCGAAAAACCATGGGGGGGGGGGGTCCGTTCGAACCCCCCCCCCCCCCTATACGGGCGAGGGATAATGTTGCTCTTATCAATCGCTGAAAGTTTCAAGGCAATCGTTCAGTCGGTGTAGCTATGACGAGCATTCTTATTTTTTCTGAGGTGAGGTAGGTCACTTGGCGTGGTGTGGTGACCTGACGTAAGGCTACCTGGGTCTGAAATTTTCACAACATGTGCCGAAAAGATGCACAAACAGGTGTATCCGCAGGGGGGTGTTCAAACACACACCCCCGGCCCGGCGCGGGTTAATTTGTCTTGGTTCTACCCCGACTAAACCACTCTATCGTTTATATTCAGGGTTCTGCCATTTTCCCTCTCCAAACGTGCCTGAAGTTTTCCCTCCACCTCCCCTTCCCCACACATCAATAAATACGAAACAGCATCCTCAAACAAAAAGTAGAAGTGCATCAGCAACACAATTTGCTTACGTCGCCCTACGTACTGCCTGTGGTGGCTTCACCAGGCTCCATCAACTGGATGGCCGATAAACAGGCGGACCCAGATATTGTATTATTAGTAATATTGTCGGGAAAACGGCCGGGCCGAGCACCTGCACAGAAAGAAAATGTTGGACGTAGACGAGTCATTCGGCAGAATGCGCAAGTATTCATGGATACAACCTAATCATCGACCAACCTGTATCCATTAAGTCATCTTCAGAGGCTGTTGTACTTCGCCAGACCGTTTGAAAACTGACTAGACCGTTTTCAAACTGTCTAGGCCGTTTCAAACTGCCTAGGCCGTTTTCATACGGCCTGATATTTCAGGCGGTTTGCAAACGGCCGGCTTTTTCAGGCCGTTTTCAAACGGCCTGACTGGGCCAGGCCGTTTGCAAACGGACTGGGTTTTCATACGGTCTGTAACATATATATATATATATATATATATATATATATATATATATATGGTATGTTACCGCGGCACGAAGAGAACAGAAAGATGAGAAAGCGTCAATGCACCATTAGAAAAAAGAGGTTAAAAGAGTGGCACATTGTTTTGTTGCCGTGCACATAAATTCAACTAGACTTTTCTAGAGTGAAAAATAGCCAGGACCGATGCGATTTACGTGTGAAATCGGTCTGCTTTAGGAGTAGGTGAGTACCTACACAATACACATGGTGAGGGAAAAGAAGCCTCGATAAGAACATATTCCTATTTTACACATCCCTCATTTATAACCTGTTTGCTAGCCGGCTGCCCACTGTACTTCGACCTTCCCTCGCCAGCGTAAGTGGCTCAGACAGTTGGAGCCAATCGCGGCGCGTCCACTCATCACGCGGCTTTGACGGCGCGCTGGGACGGTTAGTGCTCGCATGCGTCTTCCCGCTCTCAAACAGTCGCCGCGTGTGACACTTCTGTCAGAGTGCCCAGTGCCCTCTGCCTCTGGACTGCGAACGAGGTACTCGGAGCCGCGCCACTAAATAACCGGCTGTGGGACTGGTGTGTGACTGACCCCGAGTCTGACATCGAGTCCTGACTACTGACTCTCAGCACTCAGCTAAGAATTGGTGGAGAGTCAACCAACCAAGTGAGCAAGGGAGACAGTTGTGGTAATTTGGTGATTGGCTGTGCTCGGTCTATTGTTGCATTAGGAACCTGTTATAGTATCCGTGACTCAACTCAAATAACTTTATATTGCTATTCTTCACACCGTGGACGGGACCCTGACCAACTAAAAGACAAAAACTAGATGCACCTGCCACCTGTTACTCTACATATGACAGGTGACTGTTTTGACTGTGTGACTTCCTTACCATTGCTAACCCATCGTTTCTGCATCATTTCACAGCGGCGACTGTCATATGAGAGGCGAAGTGACAGCCTAGCAGCAGCCTGGTGTCAACCCTACTCTACCCGTCACCGATACCTGGAATAGTAAGACGTGGAACGACTGCCCTGTTTGTGGAGGCAGCCACCGCTGCCGTCCCCTGCTGACGTCACTGAGGAGCTGCGTGATGACGTCACTAGGGGTATCCGGTTTCGTCCTGCTATTGACGCTCGCCATATCGCTCGCAGGTCAGTGATCCTGACGTTGTCATGGAGCATGCTGATGATGATGATGATAACGATGTTGACGTTAATGGCAATGGAGATGACAGTGGGACGATGATCTGTGGTATCATGTTTGATGTTGTTAGGCGTTGTCATTTATAAATTGTCGTTAAAAAGACGCCTTTATTTGGCATGGAACATACAGCTCAAGCCTTAGCGAAGTTTTGCATCAGCAGTTTCCATCTTAGCCTGCTGATCAACCCTTCGAATTGGCTTCACCAATCCTTGCTAAAATAGAAAATGCACGGATAATCTTGCCCTCCATTACGGACTGCACCGGACTATACATAGAGGATTCTTCATGGCTCCGAGTGGAAGATAAGGATATCTTTTCCAAGCGGGTTACTGAAAAACCGAGCGACGAAGGAGCGAGGTTTTTCTGTAACACGCGAGGAAAAGATATCCTATCTTCCACGAGTGAGCCATGAGGAATCCTATATCTTTCTATGTTGAGGTTTATTCTTAATTAATTAAATATTATATTTAAATGTTTTCATCTATGTAAAAAAAAGATTTAAAGTAATTTGTTTTTATTTCATAAGTTTCGTACATAAACAGCCATTAAAATTGTCGTTCGGTTATTGACCCATATCATCACTTGAACTCTTGATTTTTGGCTATGAACCCTCGAAACCTTATCTTTGCATCTCAGAGAGATGCAGAGATAACAAATTCTTATCTTTGCATCTCAGAACAGTGTGAGATAGAAATATCCCTGCACTGTAGACATAATGGCAAATAAACCTCAACTAGAAAGATATATCCAGTTCAGGATCCTCTCTGAAATCCAAAGTGTCCTTCATGTGTGAAGATCATGGCTACCCACATATATCTCAGGACAGAGGGCTCGAGGCTGAGAGAAAGGCATTTTTTGTTCTTGTACTTCGTTCCTTTCCCAAGTCGCGTTTTCCCAAGTCGCGATAAGTCGCGACGAGTGGCGATAAAGGGTCGCGACTCGCTCCAGATCGGCAACGCCGGAGCTGTCATTTATACAAAACTCGGGACAACTCTCGTTGGGTAGTGGGTGGGTACTACAGGTGTCCGAGAAGAAGCGATTCACTCCGTTTCATGAATTAAACAATAGTAAAATATTAAGTTGTTAACATTTTGAACGATAATCTTTGTACATACAGTTTTGTTCTTCCCCACTTTGCGAAAAACAATAAGAAACAAAACGCTGCCTGCAATTTAATCAATATTAAAGTAGCGGAGCAATTGGCCTCTGTGCATGCTATTTACAGAACTGCAATCTGCACTATTGCGAGTTGGTCGTTTGCCGGGCCGTCTACCGCCCGTGAAATTGGGCCGTCGCCCAACAACAGGCGACAGGCGAGATCAACACTGGGAGCGGGTCCGTCTGGAGCGGTGCAATGTCGCCCAAAACAGAGCAGTGTGGCACACAGTTCGATCAAAGGTGAATTGATCTGCAGCAGCTTCCGAAAACAACTATCATCAACTTCTGTGACAATGGAAACTATAAACAACAATAAAATTACAAATCGTTATGAATCGACCGTCAGAACTGTTTGAAGGCAGAAATTGTACAGCCATCAAATCACCATTGCTATCAATTAAATATCGGGCGGTAAGCTCAGGTACCCTCCTAATACCGCTATAATTTTTACTCATACCCTTCGTCCGCCAGCCGCCGCACCCCACCGAAGCGGGTGACGCCTCGGCTCCCTCATCTGTCGGTCTGTCTATCTGTCTGTCGGTCTGTGGGTCTGTTTGTTTCGCCTGTTTGAAGGAGGGTTCATGACCTGAGCAGAGCAGAGGTCGTCTCTCTCGCGCGCTCAACTGCCATCTGGAAAACATCCAGAACGGACCGTTATTCAGTCGGCTCGGTCGGCACTTGAAGACTGCATGAAAATGAATCAATCTCTTCTTCACAGCGCACAGTGTAAATACGTGCATATGCCTACGTGCCAAGTGCGGCGAGCAATGCTGAAATAGTGCCTGTTGAGAAGGCTTCAGTGACGGAAGCATAGGAATACATTTTAGTTGACAGTTTAGTTGTTTTTAGTTTTATTACGTTAGTGTTCAATAACAAATAAGAATAAATAATAAACATTTGCTCCGACCTATGGGAAGTAAAAAAAAAATCACAGGGTTTTTTGAATATTTTTTTTATTTCCTGCAGTTAAAAGAAAAAGGTTATCTATTAACCCTCGCCCGCACATGGGGTGGGGGTGGGGGGTAGTTGCCACCCCCCCAGGTAGTCTTTCTGCTCTGCACTCAACATTTTTAGAGCTAGAAGGCTGATTTTTCGTATAGCTGCTCCTCTATCCTTTCTTGATGTTCACTGAAAATTTCAAGTTTCTGTGATTTTTGGTTTTGGAGATATGAACTTGTTTTTCAGGTCATGTCATGACCCAAATGGCCAATTCTCAACATTTTGCGTTTGCCATGGGCCTTGTGAGCTTTTGACACCTTGATTTCGGCCTTTTTTGCCAGTCTTACATCACACCTATCATGGAACATGTTGTTCGACGATGTACAGGTGTCAAGGTCAGGGTTAAGGTCAACCTAGGTTATCTAAGATAATTGCGTTTTAGGCAAGCTGAATTTACTTTTTGTGATTTTTTTTTGACTGCATTTTTAGTAAAAGCTTCTCAGATCATGATTTCATGTAATATAGGACACAAAAACAATCGGTGCACTCATCATTATATACACAGACACACACAGACATACAAATTACAAACACATATAATTGACCTTGACCTAACTTGACCTGAAATAACCTCAGCAGCAAACATCTGGTCGGGTAGTGTGACAAAGAGGTTCTAGCTGGCTTGGCACCAGAAAACAGCATCGTCATCGGTATATGTTAAGCAGCGCACTTGATATCCAACGGTGACCCAAAACAGCAACATTTTTTAGTTTGACCTGACCTGGAAGGTCAATGACTGACCTGAGAAGGTAAAACTGGGTATCATTAGATTTGTTTATTGTTCATTTTGACAAATGTATACTTTAATGAAAAACAATATCAAATTCTTATCTGTATTTAATGTAAACGCGTTTCGATTATTTCTTTATCAATACATTGATACAATACATTGATACAATACATAATCTGTATTGTATCAATGTATTGATAAAGAAATAATCGAAACGCGTTTACATTGAATACAGATAAGAATTTGATATTGTTTTTCATTAAAGTGATCATTAGATTTGTCTCTTCCCAAAGAATTTGTTTGGTCTTTACTGCTAAGCTCTATCTCCAAAAGGAACGAAATGGCGCGGGGGGTGGCAACCCCTCCCCCATGTGCGTTCTAGGATGGGAAAATGGCATGTGCGGCGGGCGAGGGTTAATTCATTCTTATCGCGATCTGAAGAACAAATGATAACTTTTCAGCTCTCTGCAGAAGCATTCTCTGTAGTGCCTGAACTTGAGTGTCTAGTCTCTGAAGTCCAAGAAGCCAAGGTAGTCAGGCAGGCAACATTTTAGTGAACCATAGCACAATTATCCTGAGTAGATTGCGACTTGCGGATTGCAGGTAAATGAAATTCATACCTACCATTTAAAGCAATTACCAAACATCTTTTGATAGCGCTGTTCAAAAAAAAAAAAAATGATAGCAACTATCTTGCATGTGCTTTCCGAGATTCTTTACCGCCCGAATAATCAAGGGCCTCTACAGTTCCTATGTGTTGTAACATGGATGTATGTAACATGGATAAGACCCATGTTAAGTGCAGAGGTAGGTAGCAAAATTCCAGGACACTGTAAGCCTGCGCCATGCCTGACGACCCCGCGTAATAGGTGGTATGCAATGCCAATGATGAGCTCAAAGCGGGCAATCAATGTGCAATCCCATTTTTATTTCATGATATAGCCTCTGCGCATGGAGATTATCCCAAAACACGTCAGATGCTCAGATAGGACAGCTGAGGAGAAGCATGTTGGTACACTGCAACACTCGTCTGGATTCGGTTGAATTCATCTCGCCCCACTTTTACTCAGTTCTAGAGTTCACGGTGTTTGCAGATGCGCTCCTATCTCAAACTTTTATCACTGTTGGAAATTATTTTGCAATGTGCTGGCGTAGGTATTCTTTTCGCTTCTCGCCAGTAGTCGGCCAAAACTTCTGGGAAGGCTTTTCTGTAAAACGTCGTGATAAAGTCTTCAATGGTGCTGCCATTTCGAGACGGTGGACGCCACGGCGACTGGTTTTCGAGCACCTTTTGTTGATACTGCGCTCATTTGTGTTGCTCGTATCGCTACAGCCATGGTGTGCGGAACTACCGTGCGACTCGCAGGGGAAAATACGAGTATGCGGCGAGTTTTCCACTCCTTTTTACGTTTTATCTGTCTCAGCAGATAAGCACGAATCCTGTGAAACGTTCCGCCACAAAAGGTCGCTGGGGAGTTATTCAATTACCTCGTTTTTTTTTTTTAATCGCGTTATTGCAATGCAAAACTTCAATCAAACACAAGTGATTCGATACTTCTCATACAAACGCGCTGACCTACTTTTTCTTTTTCACAGGTGCCTCAATATCGCCATCAGCCCTGGCAGCGCCCGAGTTTATCAAAGAGCACTCTGGCAACGTCACTGCCCGAGTGAACGGCTCTGCCATCCTCAACTGCCGCGTCCGACGACTGACTGCGCGCCAGGTAGTAAGTGAATGCTGCCCGCCCGACACCGCACCCACCCTGACCTTCCCAGGGGTCAGGGTCTACCACAGCGCCTGCTGCAGGTCCGTTATCAGGGGACACTCCTAGGCTAGCCGCAGGGCTTGCCTCAGCACCTGCCACGGGCTCAATATCAGGGGGCGCCACAAGGCTCGCCCAGGGGCAATACTTACAATGCAAGCCTGCCAGAAGGACAGCAGGTCACCCTTCTCGGTCACCCACAGGCGCGCACTCTATCCTAGTCGCCTAGTTCGCACGGCCCAACTCCGGAGAGCTGCAGCTGACCCCGTCTGACTGGAGTCAGACGGTTAGGTGTAAATATGCATGCGTGATAAATACCGTGGTGTCACTGTGCGTGCATACGCATACGCGTGTACCGTGGTATGCATGCAGCCTCAAAAATATATACTGCGCCAGAGGACAAACGCAGGATTAGACGTATTTCTGAGATTGGTTTTCTTGATGGGCATGCGTTTCATATATATATATATATATATATATATATATATATATATATATATATATATATATATATACAATGCATTTGCCTTCGGGTTAGCTCTGAAATATTTAGCTTTAGATGATTTCATACAATCAATGTAAGCTATTTGATCCAACTCTTTTTTAGTGGAAGCTTGTCTCTACATTCTCTACAATCCTGATTAGTGATTAGTTCAACTATTCTTGTTGTGAGAAGACAGATGAGTGATGATTTTCATTATTCTTGCTGTGAACAGACTTGTGAGGGATTTTAATGCTTGCAATATTTTATAAGATATTGTTCAAAGAACTTTTAAATGCAGCACACGACCCAATAACATTGTTTCCAGGCAGCAGTCGTTTTATCGCTAAAATGTATGCTGAACCCTGCACAATGCGCATATCTAATCTGATTGTAAATATGAGATGCCATTTGATGATTTGATGTTATTTTCTATTTAGCCTCACCCATCCCTATACCCGACCATTTTCATATATTAAAACCGCTGCTATTCATGGTTATATAAGAGTGCATCGGAACAAAAAAAAAAACGTATAACAGTGTTTATAGCAGTGTTATTATTGAAGTTTAACTTAAAATCGATCAAAAGTACAGATACTAGTCGAGGTTACGGATGAAATGTTTTAAAAATGTATCCGAGATCAATCAGGTTGTATCTAATGTAAGTCGAATATGAGCAACTTTGTAAGTTGTTGCTTATAACAATTCATGTTATTCATGTTATCTATGCAACCGAACATATCTTTGTGGTCCTTCAGACGATACCATGAAATTCGCGGGAGTATTCAATCATCTCCGTCCGCTTTGGGATAAATGTTCCGCTCACCATCACCTCCGGCCACCTCCGTCCGCAGGTATCGTGGGGCCGAGGGTTCGAGGTGCTGGCCGTCGGTCTGATACTGTTTGCGAGTGACCGCCGGTTCCAGCCGCTGCACCAGGAGTACAGCCAGGACTGGGGCCTGCGCATACTGTCCGTGCGGGCCTCGGACGCCGGCTGGTACTTCTGCCAGATCAGCACGTCGCCGCCCGTCTCACACAACCTTTATCTCCATGTTGTCGGTGAGCGTGCACTTCTTCGCTGGTGTTCTGGCGACAGTTAGCTGACTAGCCCTGACAGGGACTGGGGAAATTTGGAGTGTGTTACAGATTAATTACATTTTTATGACCGTTTCGTCATTCAGTAGAAGAGAGCTTACGTTGCAGTATATCATTATTGATGACCTGTTTTTATCGGATTACGGTTTGCAAAGTTCCACCTAATGACTGAGTCCTGACCTGCCATAATTTCTCTGTTTTCAGACCCTCAGGTGGAAATTATCGGTGGTCCGGAGCTGTTCATACACCAGGGGAGCTCAGTCAACCTGACCTGTGTTATTCGTCGGGCGCACAAAATGCCGGAAAACGTGCGATGGACGCACGAAAACAAGGTAAATGTCTGCTGAGTAATGAGCTCTTTTCATCATTATTCAATGTTCAAATACTTACGTCCAATTTACAGTTTAATCTAAAAATTCATAAGTTTTATTGGAGAACTATGAATTCACAACTGAATCAGAACTGAACTGCCAAACATAAAATTGAAAATACATCACCAAGATCTTGGCTGAATTTTTATTTTCAAATAACTTTAACGCGTCGCCATCAAAAGAAACTCAGGCCACTGTCGAGTGGCAAACACCCAAGGTAAAATACTCTTTAGCGGCGTAGGCTGCAGTTTGTTTTTATTCGTACCCTGGCGCCTTTAGTGCCCTTTGAAAGTGCCACCTAGCATGTAACAAGCTATGATAAAGGCAAGAAATCGCAGCGGACCTATCCATCAAAACCTGTCTGCTGCTAATTTCACGCTTCTTCGCTGATCATTGGCAGCGTCGTTTTATAGCGACCGCATTGGCTCAAATAAAGCGAGAATATGATCCTTAGCAGCTCAAGGTCTGTTTTGACGGTATTTAATTTTACGGATCATAACTATGCCACTACAGACACAACCATTCTCTAATCTTTGTTTATTAGAGCTGGGACCTGTCCTATCAGCACACTCGGCCATTTCGTCAACAGCATAAACACTGGAATGGCTGGATTTAGAACTCCGTTTGTCTAATAAACTCTCCGGGTTACGGCAGCAACCGTGTGGGTGGAGAGCGCAACGCCGACAAACTTTGGCCAGAGCGCACGTGTTTTCATCAACAACCAACGGAAACACTTTCGAATACATTTATCATTCATAAAATTGATTGCAGAGCAGAGTAAAAGATATGTCTGGATTTTATGGAAACGAATAATCCAAAAATTTGTCGTGCTCGTCTTTTTTAAGCTCTTGCAGCCATTCGAACTTGACCAGCCTCCCCGCAGCCTTCCTATACACCAATAGCTAATGTATTTTGACCAGCTCTCTCTCTCTCTCTCTCTCTCTCTCTCTCTCTCTCTCTCTCTCTCTCTCTCTCTCTCTCTCTCTCTCTCTCTCTCTCTCTCTCTCTCTCTCTCTTTCTCTTTCTCTCTCTCTCTCTTTCTCTCTCTCTCTCTCTCTCTCTCTCTCTCTCTCTCTCTCTCTCTCTCTCTCTCTCTCTCTCTCTCTCACACCCCCAAGTAGTGTGCTTTGGCCAGTCACCTCTTTCCACACCCCGCTCATGGTGTATTTTGACCCCCCTTCCCTTTACACGCCATCTGACTGTATAGTTTGACCAGCCCTCTCTGTGACACCCTCAGCTGGTGGAGTTTGACCGGTCACGGTCGGGAGTTCGAGTACGCACCTTCTATGAACTCCGCCGCACAGTGAGCTCTGTGCTCATCAGTCACGTCCAACCGGCCGACTCGGGCACCTACTACTGCGATCCGGATGGGCTCGAGCACGCCAAAATCACCGTACACGTACTGGCCGGTGAGTCTGCTCGTGAGCCCGTGAGTCCGTGAGTCCGTGAGTTTGTGAGTTGAATCTTGGAGTAGACTCGTGTGATTAGTTGCTCCCTCGACAGGTGAGTCGATCTGTGAGCATGTAGGCTGGTCTGCGACTCTGATGAGATGATTTCTTGACTAGTGAGTCGATCTGTGAGCATGTGAGCTAGCTGGTCAGTGAGTTTGATAGTCGGTCGAGCCCAGTGGGTCTGTCGTTAAAACTGTGAGTCAGTAGACTGGTTACATGTGAGTTGGTCTGCTAGTCTAGTGAATTGGTTTGATGAGTGAGCAGGTTTGTTTGTGAGTTGATCTTATCATTTTTACTTATCAAACACATGACTTGCATTCTCTATGTAATAGGCTGAAGTGACCAAGTAAGGGTGTTAGCACTCCTGAATGAATGATAAACATTCTGAAAAATGATATGTTTCTATGGTGATGCGTATGTTGATTGTATTGCTTCGTTTCCTAGTGAAAGCTCTGATGAAATCGCACCAAGACGGTCACGGAATGCATCGCGGTGATTACTTTCTCGCCCACTGATGCTGTCCACTGTCCCATGGATAAGTGGACGTCCGCGCCGCCACATACATACACGGGATTACGCTCGGAGTGGACCGTGAGGATTGCGCTGTCACATGCCAGGCACCACACAACTCTCTGATACACTGCTCGGCTAGTGCCTACGAAAATTGAGTCATTTTTCAGAAGTTGTCACAAATATAGCTAATTTATCTGGCGCAAAGAATGGCAATGCAACGTGGAAGTTTCAGGAGGAGGTCATGCTGGAAAAGTTCACTATTTTGAAATGTCATACTGCTCAAATGTTTGTTCGCAGCTCAATGTAGCTTGTTTGTTGTTCCAGCATCTAAACTAAACATTTAGCAATTTCTTTGCATAACAGCTTCTGGGGTCTGGAGTCTGGAATCAATATTTGATTAATGTGTGAAACATGACAAAATAATCACGATTCAGTTATACCAGAAACATCCAGACACATCTCATACAATAAATAGCGTAATGTCGTTATAAATACGTGCTTGCCATTCGATTAGTCAGTGTTGTTGACAACATTCCACTGAATGGAATTTCGTTCTGTATATAGTCATAGTCTCTCGACCCCAACATATCAAGGCAAAACTTGTTTGGGTATATCAGAAACGCCCTGAGGCTTACTTTTTGTGTTTCGGTGCTCATTTACTCCATTGATAAGGCCTTTGATATTGAACATACGACTATACGGTTTGGTATCTTCCGAATGCGTTGAATGACGCTCGCCAAAGCCAATCTGTTTTTTTTTTTTTACATAGGTATCTGATACCCATTCAGATGCCAATGTCGTATTTGGCATACGGCATTTCAAGCTTGAGTTTGTGTTTGATACAGCATATTGTCGGTTTCGCCGTTGCATTCAATAATTTTTAGGATACCTTCAAGGCTTCTATTTGGAAGGTTTCTTCAAGGCTTCTTCTAACCGGAAACACGCCAGTGCCGCGTCATTTCTGCCGCCGCGGCGTCTGGATCGTGCACGCGGCGTCATCAGCGAGCAAAGTTCCCAAATTGTCCGCCGGGGTATGGCGGCCATTCTGTCGGTCAACAGCGCTGGCCGCGGCACGATAGCGGCTCCATCCGTCCAACGGGCTGCCATCTGGAGTCGCTCAGTGCCGCCGCTCATGGGACCATCAGCGGGACGGCCAGGCTGGGATCGTCCGCGCCAGACCGACTGCCCACGCTCATCGCGACGGGGGCGGTTAGGGGGGGGGGAGTAGGGTGGAAAGCTGGCTTGGTCTGGTCTGAGGCGGGCGCTTGGAAATGGCGGCTACCTTTTCAGATGCGTTTTCCACCAGTCGTTTGCCTATTTGAATAAAAGGGATTTTATTAAGAAAAGAAAAGAAATAGAATAACAAGGTTTGATAAACTCAAATCAAATATCTCCTGACCTGCCGAGAGAAATAGCACTGCCGGCGCAACCGCCTATTTCCTAACAATGCCGTGTCGTTTCTCCAACAGACAATAATCCGGCTGCGCGCACCACCAGCTCAGCCTCGATCACGGTGGGAGGGAGCGCTGTTCTCAGCGCAGCACTTATCATCTTCGCTACAAGATGGCTGGCAGAGCAGAAACATCCGTTGGAGACTCTATAAACTTGTGTTGCCTGACATTGCCGTAGGCTACAGCGTCTCAGTGAAGTGCCCGCGCAGATAAAACTGATGCTTTTGACGCAACGAGAGGAGAAACATGATAACCAGTGTCCAGTGATGCGTGTGTGACGTTGCCTTGCGTGAATGACGTCACAATATGCGTCACAACTTGACGTTCATGACGTCAGCAAACCAAAGAGCTGCCTGCATTCCCCGCTAGTCGACTGATCTCAGTGCTTGCCCGCCGGCTAGTGAGTGTGACCTCCCGGCGGGATCGTGTGTCGGATATAGTGATGTCAATTACGGAAAATCGGAATACCGATACCAAACCAAATACCAACCAAAACCATGGAGAAATACCGAAACCAAACCAACTTGGGAACATGAGGAAAATACCAACTTTTTACCGATTTCTAGCCTCTTAAACATTAGCAAGGGTTCATGATACCAACAAAATACCAAACACATTAGGATTGAAATACCAAATACCGAGTTGGTATCGGTTTGGTATCGGTATACCAAAAAGTTGGTATCCGATTGACATCTCTAGTCGGATATCATAGCGGCGTTATCGATGACGCAGCGGGATGCGGCGGCCGCTAAGCGGCCTGCAATTTGCAATCAAAAGCACATTCCGTTGCAAACGTATTGATGTAGCGTATTGAGGTAGCGGTATCAGATGTGGACTGTGAATATGTCTGTGTGCCAGAGACTGATGCATATGTTTCATAGGCTGACATGATATGTGTAATGCTTCAGCAAATGACTTAAGGGGATGTATCATAGCTTATCACGCCGTTTGTGTGAAAGACATCGCGTGATGCTTGATAATGCAATGCATCAATCTATCAGACACTTGCTAGTTTGATGTCGAGATGCGTGCGAGACAGGTATGCCATGATGCAACAGAGGCTAGCCAGGCAGTTGCAAATTGCAATGCACACGAGACTGGTATGCCTTGACCGATAGACTGGTATGATATGATGCATTCGACTGATATTACATATACGAATGTGAAATTAAATGGCATGATGTTTTGTAAACATGGCAGGGTGTTATTTTCTCGGGTAATGTAGGTATGTGATGTGAAATACGTGGTCATTGTTTGCGCCCATTAACAAAAAATGTCAGGGGTTTGTTTGGAAATGAAATATTCAATACCTAATGATCAAGGATGCGACACTATCCGCGAGGGTAAATACCGTTTAATTTTTGTAACACATCGTGCCTCGTAAATATAAATAAATAACAGAAGAGCATTTGCTTTGAAATGCATTATGTTGATTAACCTTCCAGGCGGTGGGGGGGGACATTTTTTTGCCCCCCTTTAGTTTTTTTCGATATATATCGAGAACCGCTGCGCCGATCGTCACCAAACTTTCAGTACCCTCCCGTGAATAGCTATTGCACATTGTGACCAAAATTTTTCCAAAGGCTATGATAGGTTGGACGCTAATGACGTCAGAGTGACGTCATTTCTGTCATTTTCGACCCAAAAAAAGGTTTCGCGAGAAGAGCTGTCAGGCCTACAGCTTTAGAGATACAGAAAAAATATTTCAACATAAAAGGTGTAGAATTTAGAGGGCTACAAAACTGCAATCTCGGATTTTTAAAAATTTTGGATTTTGACCCCTAAAAATCGAAAAGTATATTTTTTGAATATAATAGCCGAAAAATCCAAAAAGTTTTTTGAATTTCGAAAAAACCGGAAGATATGTAATAGTCCCTTCCGCCTTCTATCTACATACCAAATTTGAGATCGATACCTCTTTTTTGGCCAAGTTATAGCGAAAAAACTGTTCAAAATTGATGATGTCAAATTTTCAAACTCAACTTTTTAGCAATTCTAGACCTCGTAGCGCAAAACAAAGACCACCATTAGACTCCCCGTGACGAGCTGCATCGAATCAATACCCATTTTATGCAAAAATATCAACTTTGAAATTTGACCTTTTTTGACCTGACCTTGACCTGACTTCCACCAGAAAATGACCTAAACCGTACCTGATGGTCTTATAACCAACACCATTGAGTTGGAAATGAAAAACTGGCCATAAAACATGCATCGCACAACCTTAGTAAAGTTGGGTTTATGTGGTGACCCTTGGTGACCTTTGGTGACCTGACCTGTGACCTGACCTGGTATGACCAGTGACCTCTAATAGCAACTATGTACTAGACAATTGACGCCCTATCGCTGATCTTCGACAAAATGCGTTTTACTTGGTGTTATAGCGCTTTCCCTAGAAGCCCCGTGAACGGTGAAACATTTTATCTTTGACATGACCTGTGACGTCATCGGTGACCTCGAGGTCAATGAAATTTGGTTTCCCTCGACAAATTTGACGATAGCTGTTTGAATTTTCCGGATCCGTCCAGTAGTTTCGGAGATACGGGGGGGGGCAAAAAAATGCCCTCCCCCCCCCCCCCCCACCGCGCGGAAGGTGGCCGGGAGGCCCACCGCCTGCCGGGTTAATTTTTTGCGCTATATGCATCGATTGCTTTCAGCCTTACACATGTTCACCAGTATTTTATCCAAAGTCCAATTTTTCGATTGAGCTACAGTTCAGACTTTGGACAAGTGTATAACTTTCCAATAAACAGGGTTGGAGCCTTGTTACGCACACGTTCGAAGCACAGAGCTCTGCGTCATGCATCACAATTGGTTCGTGGAACTCTATGCATGTTATTGACAGTTTCGATGTTATGGTCTCCATGTAACGCCTCCGTGTGCTCAAAGTCAACAGCTGCTTTGAGCATTTCACTTATGCCCATATTATTTCCCTGAACTGTTGAACGGTATGATCATATTGTTTAAAATAGCGAATGAAGCGGCACTAGCCCGAATGCGTCACACCATTTGTATCTATTGATCCATACTCGAAGAACACTACGGTGCCTCCAAAAATGTTTACCATTCAACGACTGATGATGCTGTCGATGAACAATTGCATTCTTCCTATGCAGCAGAAAAACACCCGTGCACGCATATGCCCATTGGTTATGTTATAAATAACGTCTATCCAACTCCTTACAAGCCACCTCTTCTGCTTTGCATATATATCACCCTCACCATACCCTGCATTCATTTGACGTAAATATAGCGCTTTATGGACTACAAGCGGGTCGTGCCTGGCCGCCTGTATCGTGATCTAAATATACCCGCCGCACGGACCGTCCATCTCCTTCGCCATGAATGGCCGCCCTGCACCGCGCGCTCTGTTTGATGTGCACACACATACACCTGTCCCGTACCCGGCGGCGGACCGTCCCACCCTGTCCCTGCCGAGCGCCGTCCGTTCAGCATGCGTCGCGCGCTGCCGACGCTGTCCGATATTGGCCGTCGCCGAGCTGCCGCCAGCGACGTACCCACCACCGGACACAGGAGGGAGGGACGCGCTGCCGTCGACGTCAACCGCCCAGCTCGGCGGCCGCCGGAAAACAGCGAGCCGCATACGGCGGCTGGTAAACGGACGGAAAGGCCGGCGGGGATATTCGGAGCACGAATAACAGCATAAATGAAACATCAGACAGGAGGGGAGATAGGACCGACGATGGGATGTCTCTACAAGAAATAATTGACTTCGACGAGGGATGTTTTTTTTCAATAGCGAGAGTTGCGATACGACGTGGACTTTATGCGAGTTTATAAACATATTCAAAATAAAAATAAAATGTGCGATCAATTCAACGCTGAACTCATCCGCAACCTACTTTTCACTTCACAACATTTTTCAACCATTTTATTCACAATCGCGCTGCCATTTCTCGCCAAACGCCAGGGACGGTCGCTGCGCTCGTAGCCGTCAAGCCCGGGCCAGTGACGTTTTGTTTTTACCTCCGTCGGACCCAATACAGTCCGCCTTCAGGCCAGAACCGCACCGCAGATCAATATGCCTGCCCGTGTGGCCATCCGGCGTGTCTAGCCGTCCAGAACGGCGGCTTAGCGAGGTCCAAAGTGGCTGTCAGGTCCGACCAGCACCGCTGGAGCCGAGCATGGCCCTATTCGACTGTGACGCGGCTGACGGGAACGTCGGAAACAATCGCGCGCAGTTCGTCCCAGTCGAGCCAGTTTCAATTACGCGTCAATGGCGAAGAGTCGCCAGCTCCTCGAATTGACCAATGGCCATGGCTGTCTCAATCGGCATAATGCCGCGACATGCGTCATAGGAAGACGTTCTCAGAAGCAGGGCTGCGGAGTCGGAGTCGGAGTCGGAGTCGGAGTCGGTCGGAGTCGACAGTTGTGACCGGAGTCGGAGTCGGAGTCGGAGTCGATTTTAGAAACCCGAGCCGGAGTCGGAGTCGGAGTCACCGAAAATCTGTCGACTCCGCAGCCCTGCTAGGTCTGCGGAGTCGGAGTCGGGAGTTGGAGTCGGTCGGAGTCGACAATTCTGCCCGGAGTCGGAGTCGGAGTCGGAGCTGGTTTTTGAAAGCCGGAGTCGGAGTCGGAGTCGGAGTCGCCGAAAATCCATCGACTCCGCAGCCCTGCTCAGAAGGTCACTTTCCGGCCAATCAACAGGGTATTCACCCGTGACGTAAATGCTTTTTTTTCTTGTTTTCTTGTGCCACCTTTTTATGTGATTTGTTTGCTTTATTGTGGGTAGTCGCAGGAGTGCATTTTATTTTGGGAAGATTTCATTTCATATGCAACGCAACATTTTATACAATTAACAATTTCTTTTCGTGGCTCAAAACACGCACATCCGATGGCGTCCACCATTCTTCAGTATGAAGCTGATTGAAACGCATCAAATTTATCTTTTTTTTCGATCAGTGATTCGAACACCAGTATCGCGTTTGCGGTGAAGACCGTTTCCAATGGCCTCGGATGGCTCGCCAAAACAATATATCAGCAGAGGACGAGTGATGGCCTGTTTTATCTGGGTGCCCGACCGACGCGACGGGCCGAACTCAAAGTCGATTTATTGTCCCCAGTAACTACTCGGATCTGCATGGAAAGAAACGCCCACATCTTTGGGAGTGCGGTACTTTGATCATTTTGATGTACTTTTTTGCATCTGCCACACACCCTAAAATGATCCAAATGTGTTTTTTTTTTTTGCAAGTTCATCAGACTACAGGGTTGGGCAGATAAATTGGGACGAATTTCAACTTCCTCTAAAACGACTATTTTCTGAGTGATAAAGATAATTTTTTAACATAAATATAGGCTAATGAATACTTTTCCATTTTATGCAGGTTGCGTTGTAATTTTGAGCCGGCTGGTCACAGAACGTGGGCTTAAGCAAGCCACTATCAACTTAGTCCGCGCGCACATGCATGCCAATACTCTAATTATGCTCCATCAAATGGCTGAAAGTAGTGTGTATCAAACAGACGTAAACGTTGGAGGAAGAGATGATATTGACTCATCCTTACATACCTATTACATTGACACCGGCCGCTCCCCCGGTTTTCCAGGGGGGCTAAAAGGCAAAATTCAGTTAAATCAGAGGATCCTCGCGAAAACAGTGGCGCGAGCTTACAACGAAGGTAGCCGCGCCATGAGAAAGCGATATACCAGCACCTCAAACATGTACTCTTATGCATTGATGCATATCAACCTGTCAACATAGATGTTGAAGCAGCTGTGACGTTAAAAAGATTGTTTCCTCTTGAAGGGCTTGGAGAAGCGAGCAAGCACGTGCAGGTCTTTTTCGACGATGGTATCCCCATAACCGAACATATGAACAACCGCAAACACCATGTAACATCGCAACCAGCCAAGAAGACGTGATCTTAGTTCCAAAAAGCATGCAGCAGACATCGGTGAAGGCATTCCACTCGGTGACTTCTGACGGTCACGTGGGGCCCCCTTATTTTACGGAATCGGGAGGGGGTTCGCCATTACAAGGTACCTAACCATTATTCCGGCAGTTCGAATCAACAAGATGAAAGAAGGCAACATCCTGCATGGAGTGATGCTCTTCGAGGAGTCAGCTCCCCGGCATACAGTAAATTAAATACAAAATCTCCTGAAACGGAGGATCCCGCAAACTGTACCCAAGGGAAAATGCCCCCTTCCTCATTAAACCTCAGCCCACACAAGTTCTGGTTGCTGGGGCGTTTTTGCGGGTGAGTCTAACGAACGTCCCCATGTGCCTGTGGTGAGCCTCAGCAGTGCCAGTTGGCTACAATTACGAGCCATTTCAGACGGGAGATCTCGCCGCGCGTGCGGCCAGTCCAGGCACCGATAAGGACTGATGCAGGTGGACCACGGTGACCATATTTGGTGAAAATGTGTAAAATTGGTGTGACAATATGTGATCCAAATTTGAAATGCCTATGTTTATAAATTTCTAAGCTACGGCGTTCTAAATGCAAATATGTATTTTGTCCCAATTTATCTGCCCAACCCTGTATAGCAGAAAAAACGATGGCAGTTAAGCAGAAATTAGGTGTTGATCACTACGAATGCTATCGAGTAATTTCAATGAGCCAAAAGCTGTTTTGAAAAGTCGTTGCTTTATTAATCGTTTCGGGTTTGGTTTGACTGAGTCCAGTTTCAATTCACCTGTTCATCATCTGCTCCAGAAGTCGGTTCCGGTGGACCAATGAAACATAGGTACAGTTCCACCACATTCACTGCAAGTAGCCGCAATATTCCACGTTCAATAATTCTTCAAACAGTCGTCAAAAGGACGCAAATGTTCCACTATGGGTCTGCAAAGGTCGTAAAATACACCAACTCGGTTTAATTCAAACAGTGGGAAATGATCATAAGTTTTGGGGAATGAATGACTAGCAAGAACTACTTATGAGTTCCTGCGGTGTTTCCACAGAAATGCAAAACCGATACCGGAGTATATCGGCCGCACCAAGACAGTGCAGCATGGAAGTCGTGAATTTAACATGCATGGTCTCAGTACCAGGGTTGTATACCAATCAAGTCGATTGAATTGATTGATTTGTTTCAACGCGTATTTTGAGTTGATTGGATTGAGTCGATTGACTTTTCGAGATGACTGGTTGACTGACTCGTTTGACTTTAGCGACTGGTTGACTGATCTGATTCCCGAAAATTAGAGTGACTCGTATGATTGAGTCGATTGAATGGAAAGTTCAAATAAGTTTTAGTTGACGAAAAATAATGACACCAATTGATGACATCAAAGATCACAAAACTACACTGAAAACTGCTTGTCAGTTGTCATCACAACTGCAATATGGGGTAGATGGCCAAATAAAGAACAGGGCCTAAACATGAACAGCCAACTTTGACTTTCAACTGCAATAACTGCTCCAATCCTGGTGATAGAGCCTGGCGATGCACCTACCTACCTTTCTGCACTCAGCAGGAAACGTTTTTTTTTTAATCCAGATGATAAAGTGCAAGGCCCTATATACTAATAAAGTGTGATTTATTAATAATTCACAGCTCCACATCTCCTCAGAAACAACCCACTTAACTCTATAAATATCTGAAACCCCTACAAAAATAACTGAAACAAAAGCGCCGTTTTCGTCTCGCTAATTACGTTTACGTGCCTAATTAATAGCTAATTTGCTGCATTGTTTAATTTGCAGCAGAACGTTTGTTGATCCTTTTCTCCTGAGAGCCTAAGCATGACATATTTAATATATTTCATTTTCCTTAAAATATTTTACCGAATATTATTAAGTGGTTTTATTTCAAATGAAATAATAATTAAAACGAAATTGGTGTTGTACAACCGATTTATTTTATGATGATCTACCATACTACATGATAATCAATGACGTCATCCTACCAAAAAATCAAAAGACGTAGAATAAGGATTTATAAAAGCTTAGCATACTTATTGGCAAAACGTTTTCTATGTTTCGCCAAGGCTATAGAACTTGTTTCGCAGTCGCACCGTGTCGTTTTCGCGTTTTAATCCTTGTTCCTACTTCCTTTGTCCTTAACTTATCCTGTGGTTCCAGAGTCCCTGTCCTCTCCATTTCCTTTTAAATATATTTTTAATCCTCATCCCTATCCCCCAGTCCTAACAGTTTCAAATTGTATTGCAATAAAATGTTTTGAATTCTTCACATAGGTACCTAACATTGACATGCCACGTCCAGAGTCGTGGACCGCTAAATACTTCAAATCTCTTCCTTCCCAATCTGACAACATCCCACGTCCCAAATGCACATTGTGTGGACAGGTTTTTCAGGCTGCCCGTCAGTCTCTGTCTAACCGAAACCGTCACATGCAGGTAAGATATTTATTTCTATTTCCCTATGGTTAATATGTTATTGATGCATATTATCCATTAAAATAGACATGGTGTAGGGTAAATGGCCAAATCACGAACACTGCCAAAATCCGAGCAGCCAACTTTCAACTGCAATATCTGATATTTAGTGTAAATGGAGTTGGACTATGGCCCAAATTAAATTGACAACTTTTAGGTGAAAGGTGGTGATTTGGGTTAAGGGGCGAGTCAACTACTGGGTTATTTTGCACCCATTAAATGAAACTTCTGCTCCAATTCTACCCATTGAACCTCAATATCATGATCCACCTGTCCATCACTAGGTATCCTTCCTTATTACATAGAAACTTTGAATGGCATGGCAATTTATAATTTTAAATGGCAATATTTTTATGTTTCTTCTGTAGTTAGGTAGGTGGGTAGGTACACCAGACTGCTATGGACACTTTTCCAAGTTGGTGGGGCAAAAAACCTAATGTATGTCTTGGTTTGAGTCGTTTGATTGAGTTGATTGATTCCTTTCATTGTCGCGTTTGAGTCGATTGAATCAATTCCCGAAAACTGCTCTGACTTGATTGATTTGATTGGTTTCCCAAATTTGTCGTGATTGAATTGATTGCTATTGATTGAGTCGTATACAACCCTGCTCAGTACTGGCCTCCAAGGAAGACATGCTGTTATGCTTTTGTTAAAATTGTTACTCATCAACAGATACATACTGCGGTGCCTTGAAGCGAACATACTTTTGCCAACATCGCAACAATCTTTGAAAAAAACATGTTTATCATCATCATTATTTAAAAGACTAAACATTTTAAAAACAGGCGGTGGCGGTGGTGATAGTAGTGCCCGATGGCGGTGGTGATGTTAGTGCCGGTGGCGGCGGTGGTGGCGGTGGCTGCAGTAGCGGCGATGGTGGTGGTGACAGCAATAACGGTGGCGGCGGTGACGGTGGACAAGCGGCTCATTGCGTATGCGCGCTACGCGGTGTTCACAATTACTGGTGGCTGCGCTCGGGCGGCGGCGGCCAGAGGCGGCAGTCGCCGGCTCATTTTCGTGTCGAGTCCGACCGGCCGCCGCCGATCGTAAACGACTCGGATTTCATTGGCCGCGCACTGCCGAGCGGCGGGTACTGATTAGCGAGAATCTCACTGCCGTGCCCTCAATACCCGGCTCTTCCGCCTTGAATTAGAAGTGGGGAGAGACTGGGCGTTAGTGGAAGCACGAGCTTGGTTATTTAAATGAACTGCTTCACCATGTCCGTACTGGTGCATAATTCACCACTGATAACCAGTGGTACCTGAAAACCAGTAGAATAATAATCCTTTTACCCTGACAGTTTATTTCCTACCGTTCTGTGATCGTAGCATTGTTGCACTGAAAGTTGACCACGATTCATCTACATTGCGGATTAGACGTTAAGTACGTAGTTACGTTTTATTAAGTTTACTGTCCGCGAACGTGGTACAGAATGGTCTGCATGTTCAGTTTTCCTGGAATTGTCGCAAGTCATAAGTGTTTTTCTTTGCTTGTTTGCGTTTTTGTCAAGAACATCGTTCTTTTTGCGTTTGAACGTCAACGGCAATGTGCGTCAAATCCGAACCGAATCGCACTAAAGGAGACATCTTGGCTGATCACGCAGTCGAGAAGCGTAAGCCGTTTAATAAATACGCCCAAAGCCTAAGCCAAACACGTTCATCGCTAACGGCTTCAATCATTACCGACCAGATTGGGCAATTCTGGTAATGGGTCGTTTGTTTCATCCGACCATGAGCTGCACTATCTCGCCCGATTTCGGGCCGATGACGGTCGGCTAGTGCTGTAAATGATTGGGCATTGGGAACATTGCCTCACTAGACGCGAACTAAAAGCTGTTGGAATCTCATTGACGATAGATGTTACTAGTTCGATTCAGTTGTGCACTAAGTGACACGATGCACTATGACCTAAACTGATGCTTAGTCACTGTGAGAATACTGTTATTCACTGCGATTTCTTGTGAAATATAATAATTACAGTATCATTGTTTGTAATTTACGTTCTCGATGCATGTGTCGCGCACAGGGTCTGTCTGTTTCAGTGTTTAGATGCGGGATGAATAGATAAATTGGAAAAACAGAATTACTTGTAATAAATATCTGTGTTTTATAACTGTTTTACATAAAAAAGGAAGAAAATGAGCATCGATAGCATATAAAAACTAGTGCTTGAATCAGAATAGTGATATAATGAGCATGGTTCGTTCAGCCTTCGACGCTCTAAAAAGTACACGTACGAGCAAACGTACACCGTCCTTTTCCCACTCACTCAGGCAATGAGTATGATCGCGGTATGAAGCAGCCCGTGATCATGGTTAGTACAAATATGGTTTATTTTATTGAACATAATTTCACACCTAAGCACTAATGTCATTCATACACAATTACACATACATCCATAACATATCAATATACGCCTAGGTGCAGCTGCAGACGCACACATTTTAGGTGACAGAACACATGTCTGCAATGCGTACCAAACAGCTACTTTTGATTCCTGTATATATAATTGTTTCCACACTTCAAAGGAAATGCGCTCACCCATCACCCATGCATTCATGGTGTTGTAGCGATGGAAAGAAACAAAGATGGAAACGTGCTTGCAGTTAGCCTCAGCAGCTATCACGTTGTTTCAAATGCATCCTTACTTTTTGGTGAAAACGCACCTTACGTATCTCACTACCCTACTTCGCAAGAATAAGCCAATGTATGACAAACATGTCATGACAAATTCAAATTGGATCACGGAAATCGTAGTACTGATACATTACACCATACAGTCAAAGCACCAGCATTCATTCGTCTAAATCATCTGCGACAAAGCAAAACGTTAGAGACGAAACACTGTCTCGTTTTCACGTTCGCATCACTCGACTTTCGCACAGTCCCGACCTCAGCTCTACAGGGTGTCCCATAAGTTCGTTCTCACCTAAATTTTAGGTTTTTAGGCTCTCTTGCTTAACCCTCGCCGGCACAGGCCATTTTGAGTCCTTCGACGGCACAAGGGGGGGGGGGGGGGGTTGGTACGACCCCCCCCCCCCCCTCGCGTTTGGCCCCTGATCGAGCTAGAGCTTCGCGGAAAAAACGAGCGTGTTGCCCGTCACGAGAGGAAGCCGATGATACCCAATTTTAAGGTCCTAGGTCATCGGGTGACCTTCCAGGTCAGGTCAATGACCCGAAAACCGGGAAAATCGGGACCTGTTAGAAAGTCGTAAAGTGTGGCTGCTATGTGGTTTTCCGGGGTGCTGATCACGAATATCGTGTTAGTTTTGATCATAGATGATGTCTTTAAGCATTTAGACCAGGTCGGGTCAGGTCAGGTCAGGTCAACCGGTAGGGGTTGTGACTGGTATTCGTAATACGTGTCAACCGCCTCGGACAGCTTCGTAACATGTTACGAAGGCACCAAAACTACTTCGTAAATGTTCAAATGGTTGCTAAATTCGAATTCAGCTCCAAAAACTAGCCTAGAAACATGTAAAACTCGAAAAAGTGAACCGAGGTCACCCGAGGTCACCAAAGGTCAATGACCTGACCTGACCTTCAGGTGACCTTGACACCCACCCTAATGCATGGGAGCAACATCAAATCACATGTTTGAACGTTTGAAACCACGAACAGCTTGCAAACGCGCGGCTAATGCGAGCCGACATGCGCCGAACCGCGATTTCGGCCAAACATGGTCACAGAAAAGAGGTCACAGGTCAAAGGTCATTGAGGTCAGGGTCATGAAATTTTCAGGGTAGGTGTAAAATTCATCAATGCGAAGGTACGGAAAGTTTCGTCGCGATCGGCCGCTTTTTACGCGAGTTATTCGCGAAAAACCTTAGGGGGGGTGCATCAACCCCCCCCCCCCCCTGTGCCGGCGAGGGTTAAAGGCACGCTGAAATTGGTTCGTTACTGGGCTTACGTGGTTGCCATGGCTGGTAGAAATATGCTCCACAGTAACTAATTTCTGTAGACAATATAGTTTTTGCTAGAGAGCCCGTTTCCTACACAGACGGCTAACGCCGCAACATAGAGGTCTCCAATACGGGTACGTCTCGGTATTTAGTCAGCACGTGACCATTCGCGACGACTGAGGGTGGTTGAGGCCTACCAGTCTGTAGACAATGTCCATCGCTAACTGGAGGCACAGTCAGCAAGTGACACCGATGATTTGTCGGGAGTCAATCATTGCAAGTTTATCCTCTTTTTTTGTCAGCTCTCAGGAGTGAGCCATGTGGCCAAAACTGTGTGGCGCCAAACACTGTAAAACATATTCACTAGCTAATTTTGAAATTAGGCATTTTTTACGAGTGCCTCCCTTGCTCCTCGTTACAACATATATGGACATTAGTAGTCAGAGCCATGCACGTTAACAATGCCGCTTGTGGAACAAATGCCTACGAGCGAGAACATGTTCAGGAACCTAATTTTGCGCAGTGTTAATGAACTACGCACAGCCTCACAGTGTTACCCGCCGTTGGCTTGTTCTCGGCCAGTTTTTAGCGTGTCCCTCAATTAGGTCATTTCGCTATTAGCTCAGCTGACGAGGCCCCGGCTGGCACCTACTAAACGGATAACCTTGCGTGCAACCCCGCTTGTTGTCACGAACGCCTGCAGCTGGTAAACGTGCTGGCAAGCTTGCGTGGTCAGCGGCTTTGGATGGCTATGAGGATGTGCCTCATAGCTATCCTCGTCGCATGTTACAACCTAGGAGTCTGTGGCTGCTTTCAGAAGGAGTCCCCCCCCCCCCGCTTCCGGGAGCCGGCGTCCATTTTGTGTTGAGTCGCCATTACTGTGTGTGTCTGCCCAACTGCTCTTTGGCTTGATTGAAGGTGAGGCATCTTGTATCATTTGCTGTGTGCTCAACAAAAAGGTTGTCCATTTGTAAACAAAAGTTATTATGTTGTTGAGCTAGAAGATGTATAGTATCGCATAATGTTTGCCCGTCGTTGGCAGAAGTGCGCCGGTATCGTCTATCCAAGTCAGAATAGCTATATTGTTTGGGACTTAAGCTAGCTTGTGGCAGGAATCTATCACTTTATTCAACTTTAATTTAATCATTTTCCAGATTGGTATGCCTTATGATAATAATAATGTTAATATTCGTTTTTTTCACTCATTACAGCACTGAGAAAAAAATTGACTCCATATGGGTCAAAACTCTTGAAAATGCTCCCCTGAAAACTCCTTAAAACCATTGATAACTCCCTTTCCAGCAGAGTTATCGAGTGTGTTCTAGGGTAACTTCGAGCCTTCCTCATTTTGCGAAAGAGTTTTCAAGAGTTCTTAACCCGCGCCCGGCTGGGGGTCCTGGATTTCCACGCCCTGCTGGGGGGGGTGTTTGAACACCCCCCCTTCTAACTCGGCTCCTGGGCCACGTAGCGATACGCGGAAGGCGGCGTTCGAAAGAGCGTCAAAAATAATGAGGAAATTACTTCGGTCAATTTTTTGGTCAGGTCAAAGGTCAGGTCACCAGAGGTCATTGAAGGCAAAATTTCGCCGATTTCCAGGTCGAATGTCGACAATTTCCAAGAAGCCAACGCATAACTCGGGAACCAATAGAGCTACAGCGACGCGGAAAAGCGCATTCGATAGCCCTATTAGCGCCCTTTCTGAGTAATTTTCTCAGATTTGACCTAACGTCAACGGTTTTGCCTGCAGGGGGCAAAAACTGCAAAAATAGCCTATTTTTCGGAAACAGTTTTTCTGCAATAACTTTTGACCCAAGCCTTGTACGAGCTTACTTTTACCGGCATCGTGTTCCTCTCGTCAAGACGCATCGAATGAACTGTAACTTGACCTTGAAAGGTCAACTTGAAAATTTGACCTCAGGTCAAGGTCATGACCTGACCGGAAAGGGTCATGTTGCATATCAGTCGATCCGTATCGTCGAGCTGAACACATCTAAGGCGTTTTCATCGCTCTAGCATACCTCTATCAAAAGTTATTTGCGAAAAACTGTTAGATACCATTCGTGACCTAAGATGACCTCAGGGCATAAACAGGGGTCACGGACACCATTTTCATGTTCAGTGTGTCTAAACCACGTGTAATTCAGTGTTTGGGAGTGTTTATAATGTCTTTCGTCCAAAAGAGGCGCATTTCAATTTTCTCCCATTGACTTATAATGGGGAGGTCGCAAAATTGACCTGACCTTAGGTCATCGATATCAAAATTCTGAGATGAACATTTTGTACATGCTATTGCTCTTAGCAATCGCTGAAAGTTTCAAAGCGATCGGTCACTCGGTGTAGCTATGACAGACATTGAAACTTTCTATGAGGTGAGGTCACTTCAAGTGACCTGGTGACCTGACCTTGAATGACCTTGGTCTGAAATTTTCACAACATGTGTAGAATTGATGTATGATAAGGTGTACCAAAAACGGCGGCGCGGAGCGCCGCCGTTTTTGAGATATTCGCGAAAAACCACAAGGGGGGGTGTTCAAACACCCCCCCCCAGCAGGGCGCGGGTTAATGGATGACGAAATGACTCCATGTGTGACACCCCATAACTCTGTGACGCAACTCTCCATTACTCCCAAAAAACCTTTCCCGAACGTTCCGACAGGAGTAAAAGGGGAGTTACGAAGGGGTTTTAGCATACGTCGCGAGGCTGCCGGTGGCCGCCATCTTTTGCGCGTAGTACACAGCACGTTGTGCGGGGCGGCGGGCGAGGTGTTAGTGAAGAGCGTGTTGACTTAGACGGACCTGACCTATACAGTGACGGATAATTGGAACTTACTTTGGATTTAAAGGTAAGCTTAGCTGTATTTCTCATCATGCTTTTATAGTGCCAAGTGTTATAATGCTGTGATGAGAACATATGGTAACCCCATGTTCTTGATGGGCTGGAATGGTCTCTGTAAGGGTAATTGTTTTGTTTTGTTCCTCTGAGTGAGATAAAGATCGGAAACAGCATGCTCTGAGTTTCTAGGTATTGGCAAATATCATACATTATTTCCCTCGAATAAATTGGAAAGTTTGGATTACACAAGCTTTACACGTCATGGATCCTATTGTTATTGCCCAATTATTTTAAAATCCATACCAATGAAAAATATCAGATTTGAAGGGCTTTCAAAGCAGAGCCAGAAAATTAAACTATCTTGGCATAAAAACCTTGATTTTTCTAGCCCCTATATATGAAAAAAAATCAGTTACCTACCACTGCCACTGCCCATGAATGATGAAAACCACCGACAAACCAGCATGTTTAAATAAATTTTGTCTAAATTGTTGTATGTTTTTAGAAAGTGTCCATTATTGAATTTCTTTCTTTAATGTAAACATGGGTACCTATGCAGCGTATAACGTCCTTGGCTTATTTTTAGCGACCTGCTCAACTTTTTGAGCGTTCAAGTAGGTACGTTTTATAGCATTGCCCTACTGTGTCTGCAACTAAGATGGAGGCTGTTAACTTGCCCTTTAGACTTTCACTGAAACTTAACTTTATCAAAATTGTAGTGCATAAGAAGTATGCTAACTTTGCAATCTCTTGCTTTCATTATTTTGACATCATATGCCGAAATGCAGTATCAGTGCCAACACGTCAGGTCGCGTATGTCTCGTCTCGTCCATCTTGTCTCATCTGTCTACCTCTCAGTCTCCTCCCTCATTTCTTCCTTCCATCTTTCCTCGCTTTCTTCCTCACTCCCTCTTTCCCTCCCCTCTCCCTCCCTTCCTTCCTTCCTTTTTTTTCCTTCCTTCCTTCCTTCATCCCTCTCCTCCTTCCCTCCCTTTCTCCTGCATTATTTCCCTCCTTCTCTTTTTTTCTTTCTCCTCCATTTCCTCCCACGCAATGTTAAGTGTACCTATAATTTCATGGTTATTAACATTTTGCAGGGGATGAGCTGGAGAGCCTGCAGCGCATCCCGCAAGACACGTCGGAAGCCAACGGAGGCCAGCAAAATATCCATCCCACCATCGTGAAAGGAGAGCAGGACGAAGAAGACGAAGTATTCGTCGAGGCCCAGGAGGTGGTGGAGTAGCGGCACCACCAGACCAAGCATTCCTGCTGTGGTAGGCCGCCTTTTGGATTCTTATCATCAAAACTCGCGACCGTGAAGCATATGGAGTGAGATCCCCGGAGAGCGTGCCGCGGCGGGACGTCGAAAGCGTTTGTTAATTTTTAAGCCTCCCACCGCCCCGGACTATGAATACACATTTCTTGAAATATATTTTTTATCTGTGCTTCGGTACACGAGCTTTGGGTGGTTACGCTATTCGTCCAATATTTATTTTCGGGGGGGAGGGGCTGGAGTGGAGTGATGCGAAGTTTGGGTGAGTTTGATGGGGAGTAACAAGAGGTATACCTACCATGAAGCTGTAAACGGAGTTTTGGGGAATAATGGAATGGAGTAATCGGGAGTAATTATGAGGCAGTAGGAGAGTCATTGAGAGTGATGGAAGGGAGTTTCAGGGAGTATGTTGTTTGTTTTGATAGGGTAAAGGAGAGTAATGAAGAGTTTTCTAAAACGGTAGGGAGAGTTACAGAGAGTTTCTCGAGGGAAGTTTTGGGGTGTAATGGAGAGTTTTGGAGGGGGTGTAATGAGGAGTACCACCTGGGAGTTTTGGGGTGTCGTTTTGGTGAACTCCCCCTGGGGGTGTCATGCGGAGTCAGGATTTTTCTCAGTGAGACTTCTCTGGTAAAGAATGGGGCCAATGTCCTGGCCTACCTGCACCCCGCGACTGCCGCCGGTGCAGAGCTAATGAAAAAATCACAAATGTTTGATGGTGGTTATTTAAGAAACCTTATTGAAAATTATTCAGTTAGTTGTTGTTGTTGTTGTTGTTGTTGTTGTTGTTGTTGTTGTTGTTAAAGTTATAGTTATTGTCCTGGCGTTGTTATTGTTCTCGTTCTCGTTCTCGTGCCCGAATAAATGTGCTGCAGCGCTACTCAGTCTGTTTACTTGCGGGTGGCGGTCGAGAGTCGGGGGCACTGGTCGACGGAATTCCGTCGACGGAATTCCGTCGACCCATGGTGCCCCGACCCCGAAGGCCAGTAGTGGTATTAGTTAACTAGTGCCACTACTGGCCTTGAGCTAGTACCACTACTAGCCTTGGGGGCTAGTACCATTACTGGGTATGGATTAGTAGGCAGTGGCTAGTTACCTTACCAGGCAGGGGCTGTTATGACACCTAGTAGACGCACTACCCACGCTATTTACGTGCGTGTTGTCAAACTAGGTGGAGCACGGTGGTCGTATGCATACGAGGCACAGCCTTGTCGAACAAGCTTGTTACTCGGCAACTAGCCTAAAATTAGCCAAATTTACACGCTCCTGCAATGTTATTTTTGCGCTGAGAATTCCTCTACGAGGGGCTTGTAAGTTTTTTTTACAGTGAAGTGGCCATCAAAAAGGTCAAAGGGTTAGAAAGTTGGTAAGCAGACTTTTCAGGATGGATTACCAGCTGTCTAAGAGTGTTCTTTCGGGGTACATAACTCAAGGTGACTTAAGCTTTGCTTACCGGAGGGCTCAAAACAGTCAAAAACGTCTTAAAATGGCCAATCATGAGTTTCGTTATGCCTGAGGCTAAAAAAAAAACTAAAGGGCTGAGGACATCAACCAGGTCATCTGGACTAACTAGTCCACGTTCGAGATGAAACACCCGTCCAAACCCGAAAACAACCCCATAAGGGCGAAGGAGGAGGCCTCCGTTTCGTCCCGTTATGTTCCTATGCGAAAGGCCAAGGTCACGGTATTGTGGGGTTATAGGCGTCCAGACGCTGACCAGGTTGCGAATGGTGTCCCAGAAACAGCTTTGGGAAGCATAATGCTTTTCCAAGAACATCTAGGAGGAGTTTCAACCCTCAAGCTTAACTCGAACCGCGATTATGAACACATTTATAGAGGAGAAAATGGCATCCGAGAGGTCGTAGGCCCATCTTCAGGCAAGACAGTGCATCAGTGCACAGGTCAAGCAAAGCTTAAAAGCGGTGCAAGGAGACTGTGACAGGCGTTTGTGGCAAGACCACATGCCAGGCACCTCATCGGATCAAAATTTCATAAAAATTTGTTGGTTATGCTGAACATTAGGCTCGTCGAAGCGTAGCGCTGTTCCAGCCTCGAGGAGCTCACGACGCATGTCAAGTCAGTCTGGATTAACTTTAAGCCTGCTATGCAGCCAAACATGCCGGTTGTCATGCCGCAGCATGTGTTCATGTGTTTGCCTATTAAATGGGGAGCACATTGAGGGGTCACAAATATATCAAGTCGCAATGTACTCTGTTTCACATGCAAATATAATGTGAGAACGAACTTATGAGACACCCTGTAACACAAGTCGTGAATCATTTGTTCAAACGGAGTGAGGCTACATTGGTTTCTCTCTCCTGCCTTGTTCACTCACAAAGTCACACTTCTTCCACCTTGCTTTCCTGCGCCCGCTAATGACGTCACGCATCATTTTTAACATAATGATATTCGTATCGTGCCGGTAAATTCGTATCGTGCCAAAGTCCTGTATGCTCACAAGTTCCCGTGGAAACATAAACACATTTCATCACCATGGCAACACAGCTGCAGTCCGTCGCCAGCAACACACATGTGTCCATCGCGCCGCAGCTGTCTCCGACAAGCCTCAACTGTCTCTGCTCGCCGTAACTGTCGCCGGAGTGTTGTAAATGGATCTGCTCCTTTGACAAAACTGCTTCTTCTCGACAACAGCTATCCCATCACGAGAGCTGGTGGCAGAACATTGTTCCATTTCATCCGACAGGGCCGCCGGAGAGCCACCTGGGAGGCTCCTCAGTCCTCAGTCCCAATGGTGAAGGAACACCATTGTTCCTTCACACCTCACACTGATCTGCCGTCAGCACCAGAACTGTCTTTGACCTCGGAGATCACAGGTGGTCGGCCGCGGGATACATTGTCGGGCCCCCTCCAGATCCGTCATCAAAGGCTCACACCTCATTACTCTGTGACCGGTCCCTTTGGGCGGGCACACACCCCTTCATTGTTCCTCATTAACCGCTCATCGCCACAATTAAATCCCCTCCGGTTCCGAGACACCGGGTCCGCGTTTCAATTCACAGACACAGTCGAGTCAGCTTTTCACTTCACAGACGCCGGGCATTCAGAAGAACCACCCCCATGTCAAAGGGGAAGCGACGTTCCCCGCGGCACCGAACCATTCTGTGAGATCCACTGGCTCACAATCGGGAGGTGTCGGAGGCGACAGTCAGTAGCGCTGGTTTATATCCGCGGGGGCGAGCCGACGGGCTGACCTTAGCTGGTCGGCTAGCAGGGACTGGTCGGTGTCAGCAGCAGCAGAAGCCAGCAGCAGAGGAGGGCCACTGCCGAGGTCACGCGGTGACACGGCTGACCCCCGGTCTGCATAGCCGCCGGGTGATCGCCTGCGGCAGCAGCAGAGGTCAGAGGTCGTCAGAGATGGGAACTTGGTGAAATGACACTTGGCGACAACCAAACGATTGGTGACCGTCAAGTAATTGAAGACAAATGATTCACTGATACCTTTTTCGGATACAATGATGCAGAGAAAGCGATGCGAAAATTAGTTGAATACATTACTTGGATTGGTTACCGAAACTCGAAGGTCTGTATATTCATCTTTCTCAGTATATCTTATATTTGATAGCCCCAAGATATTCGGGGCCCACAATAATTACAGATCAGGGAGATCAGTGGCGGGTAATCCTACTAAATCAGGCATACATTCAGCCGTAATGCAATATGCCGGTCGGTCGGCCGGCAGTGACCATCGGTCATTGCTGTACGGATAGCGGGCGTCCGTGGGCCGTGGTAGGCTTGCGGGAGTAAGTTTGATTGGCTGAGTCGAGTAACGTTTCATGTAGTCTCCATTTCTCTAGAAAGATTGAATGTGGTTCCGGTACGAGAGGCAAGGTAGCGTTTATAATATTTCTGAGTAAGTGCGAAGGTGCATTTTGCTTTAATTCTGACCCTTGATTCGAATTCGTTCTAATTTCGAAGCCGGTCTATAGTCTGGTGCTATCTGACGACGTCTGAGGCCTGGCAACGTATGTATACATAATATGTGGTCTGGCTGGGTCTGTGGTCTGGTGGCGTCTGAGGTCTGTCAAGGTCTGAGGTCTGGCAGCGTCTGAAATCTGGAAGCGCTGAGGTCTGAAGCGGTCTGTAGTCTGGTATCATATAATGTGTGAGAAGGTCTGTGGTCTGGCGGGTTCTAAGGTCTGTCAGAGCCTGGGGTCAATCAGGGTCTGCGGTCTGGCGGTGGCACCCGTTCCGGGGAACCCTAAGATAACTGTGTGGTGGAGCACGACGCCAGACTAGCCGCAGATTAACTCGCGTTCTCAAAGGCCGACAGTGGAGCGTCCCAATCGCCTCCGTTCCGCGAACTGCTTTGAATGAGAACCTCCGGCAGTGTCTGGCTCAGTCCGTGACTGATCAGTCGGCTGCCGACCGTGACTGATCAGTCGCTGACAGTTCAATCGCGTGACTGCTTCCTTGACTGGCCCAGCAACTGACAGCCAAAGGAAGCAAACACGTTGCATGCTCTCAAAAGGAGCAATGTCTGCAGGGTTGTATACGACTCAGAGTTGAATCATGAATCGACTCAAGAATCAGTCGTTTTTCTTCGAGTCATGAGTTGAGTCGAATCAAATAATTTGAAAGCTTAATGAATCATGAGTCGAGTCGATTCACATATGTATAGGCCATTTGAGTCAGAGTTTGAGTCGATTCAAGGTAACGCGAGTCACATTTTGAATCGATGCAAGGTAACTTGTCACAGTCTGCTCCAGCCACCAGATAAGATAAACTTATTTTAAAGTCATGAAACTGCTAGTGAAGTAGTGAGCACCTTTTATGTTTTGGCTGGCATCAGCTACCTATTATATTCAACTTTGGCAAGTCAGCATTGCAATTGCCTCAGCCTGTATTTATAACTATATGCAATCACTACATCTGTGGACTGTTACTGCAATACTCACATTGGGTTGGCTTTGTGAGTGCTAGTAAGGGACACTAACAAGTATGAGATAGATACCCGTTTACAATTGAAATAAAACCTTAAATAATTGTCTATCAAAGTTCTCTAGAAAGACCATCAATAACCCTCACATTTTTCTTTTCCGATGGTTCACAATTGCTAATTCGTGGTCGCGCATGACGTCGCAAATAAGTATTCGTAAACAAGACGAAAAATGAAGTTTTTATTTAATTCAAGCTGATAAATGAATAGGAACAGTTTTAAAATGATATGAGAACTTGATCTTTTTAGCCAGTAAATTATAAAATGATGAAGGTTAAGAAAAAATATAACATGATTTGGTTTCAAATTAAAATTGTATGACGTCATTAACGTGGACAAATGTTTCTCGAGCTTGAATAGATAAGAGTAATATTTGTAAGTTATTAGCAATTTCTGTCGACAATCATATTTGCTGCCATATCCCAAACGTAAAGGAAAAGCAAAAAATCGTAGCGGCGCTACCATAGCTAAAAAAAACGCTACCATTACGCAAATCAACTGGAAAGTGACGTTTTATTTAACTTTGTTATTTATAATAAACGCAAACGTCCATTTTTAGGCTTGGTGTTGTATTTTTCTGCTAAATTTAATAAAAATTGGTTTGTTTATTTTGAGTTTAATTAGTTATGACAAGCTAAAGCTAAGGTTAAGATAATTGACGTCATGTGTTTATACCTTTAAAAAGTGGATCACACTACATTATTGGATTATGCCCTAAACCTTGTCGTAAATTCTCAAGGCCACAAGGCAACAGGGCATGAACAAAATGTTTTTTCTTTGCATTTTGTGATTCTAATTAGCCTTATATTTGGCTTCATATTTGTCATATATTAAAGGCTTCATATTTGCATTCTTATTTAGAAATCAATACTGTGCTGGCTTGCAGCTGGCACGTAGTTAGGTACCTATCGATTTGCTGCTGACATTTTTATTTACATTATAGGTACCTATGCAAAGTGTGTTCTGTGGTTTCAATAATAATAGCAACATGTTTTTCTTTATTTTTATTTCATACATAAATAAAATGATTAATGTTAACTTTGTTAAATATCTACATGTATATAGTTCACTAGTTGTCAGGAATTACATATGCAGTATGCACCCATGAATGTATTTCACTACCTAGTAAAGCAAGCGTCACACTTCTTTTTGCAACAAAGGGGAGGCGCTGTAGGTTAGGTTTTAGGTGGTAGGTTTTAGGTTGTAGGTTGTGTTAGGTTAGGTCAGGTTTGATTAGGTTTGGTTTGGTTTGGGTTGATTAGAAAGCATCTCTGGGTACAGCGCCTCTCCATGGTTGCAGAAATGAGTGTGACGCCTGCTTTACGACTACCTGTATTTCTTGGGTTTGCACAAACATTTTATGTTGAATAATTTGATGAGTCTGTCCAATGAGTTGAGTCAGAATTGAGTCATGAGTCGATTCAAATTATTTAACAGAACCCTTGAGTCATGAGTTGAATCGAATCGTTAAACTGAAAATATGCTTGAATCATGAGTCGAATTGATTCATATATTTCTTGTCATGTTTGAGTCAAGAGTTGAATCGAATCATTTCAATTAAAGTTTTTGGAATCATGAGTCGAGTCGATTCAGTTTTAGGAAACTCTCTTCTGAATCGACTCACCAAAAATTTGAGTCGTATACAACCCTGAATGTCTGTGAGTTACATGCATGCCCTATGCCCATAATCCATCAGTAGGCGATCAGTTACACTTGCCCTTCGTTTGCTCTCTCCATGCGTTATGTAATATTGGCATAATACTATGTGTGATTGTTTGTATTCAACTACAAAAGCACAGAAAATTCGAGCTAAGATGGATAACTGGCAAATTGTATTTATAATATTGTTGAACAGACAGATCGAATGTAAAAATGTACCTAATCAGATACGATTATGAGTGCCTACCATTTAGCCCAACAACATAATAATGGCTACATGAGTTGCAATACTATCCTGATTATTGTGATTAAGGACGTCCTAGGAACTTAGTCGTCTCAGAAGTTTTGCTCAGCCATCAACGCTGAAAGCAGGTCTGAAAGGAGGCGATCTCGTGAGGGTTACGTCTTTGAGGAAATGGGAAAATCAATCACATTAGCCTAAAGCCGGTTCTAGGGAAAACTCCTCTCCCAGCAGGATTTCGGAGCAGCAAAAACAAACTGTTAAAAGTGTCTGTCTCTCTTCTAGTCCATATCCATGACATTCTCATCTCATCCACTGATTTCGTCAATCGCCACATCCTGCTTCTCTCGAACACTTGCCATTCTCTGCGAAGCTCGTAATTATGCTACTGTCGATTCACGGTAGAGCGATGCTCTCCCAGCGCCCTGTGACCCCGGGACTACCTTAGTGGAAATGCGTCGCTGTCCCACTGCGAGCCACGTACGAGTATTCCAGGGGTTGATTATATCCCATGAGACTGAGTAGGACGGTGTGACGGCCTGACACGCACTAGCCATAACGTCTCGTACTCCGGTAACTCAAGCTCGTGCCGTCGAGCACCTATTGAAGTTATGTCGTTCATTGAATGCTCATTTTGATCGTGGGAGGATATTCCACCCCTTCATCGCTTGAAAATGTAATGCCCATGGACTAGCTACATGACGCTTAGAAGTAGTTGCCTAGTTGGTGAAGGTGATGAAATGGATGTCTAACATTATTTACTAAGACCGGCAAATTGACACGCGTGCTGTGAACTTAATAAGTCATCGATACCCTATCAGCTCGAGGGATACTATCCGTGATGTTTCACTTTATGACACGTCGACAGGCTGCTGGAAAGTTATCCTCGCATTACGCTGAATTAACCCATGAAACTCTGTCGCTTAGCGAGAATAAACGTACCTATTACCTATTTTGATTTAATAACATTGCATGATTATCGACTGCCTGGCTGAGCAGCGGCTGTATGGAAAGCTTCACAACCCCTTCACATAGAAACACATTCGTTTGCTCTGGCTGCTTTCACCATCGGAGGAAACGCAGCACCCGTTGCATGTTCGACCGAAATGAAACGGATGTCAAACAAGTGCAATATTCGCCAGATTAGGCGGGCTCAGCTCAGGCTCAGGGTGACGACTGGAGAGGAATTGATCATTGTGGTTCAGTAGCATGACCAATACATTTAGCCGTGGTTAACACGCTACTAGATGTGACGCATCCAAATCAACACCGCGTGCCCCAATCTCGTCCGTGCATCATGCCCTCAATACTCACCATTGAGTATGTGAACAGTGACCTTGACCTGCTGGAGGCCATCCGGGTCACAGAAGTACTCTCCAGAATCGGACGGCATGGCCCGCTCGATCAGAAACTTGCTGATGCTATTGTTGCCTTCCCGGTATGTTCTGATGCGAACTCCGGCTCTGGACAGGTCATACTGCACCAGCTGAGGAGCAATGGGATGAAGTTCGCTGGTGAACTGCTTGCGAGCAAAGCACAGCATTCACTCACGCATCAAGACACAGACATACAGACTGTAGTGAATAGACAGACGAAAAACACATATAATCCACACGCACATACGTGCTATCGTATTGAAACAATACCAGGAGGAAACCCCAACATAAAACCTGAATACAGCAATTTCAACGAAAGCAGCTGACGCTAAACATGTTAGCGAGATGCGCTATTGCAGCAGCATTTAGAACATGCATTACCTTGCTGTCGTGGGTCCACCGGACGTTCTCGGGGGCCTTGTGGGCCCCACGGATAATGCAGGTGAGAGTGGCGTCACTGCCACGATTGATGTACAGCTCGGGAGCGCCCACGATCTCCACTTGCGGCTCTGAAATGAAGGCAGCATACATCAGGTGATGGGAACAGGAGAAAGTGTTGAGCGAATTGGAGGGGATGGGAAACTGGAATACCAACTCTGGCTAATGAGAGAATTCGTATAAAGAAGGTTCGCAGTTGAGTTTCCATGGTGTGAAAAGCTATTTTTTACTGGCACCTCTATAGGTCATTGTCAGTTTACGATAAATGTGGTGCTAAGATGCATCCTAAGTAATTGTATATTGTTCATTTTGACAAGTGTTTACTTTAATGAAAAACAATATCAAATTCTTATCTGTATTCAATGTAAACGCGTTTCGATTATTTCTTTATCAATACATTGATACAATACAGATAATGAACACACACGATTCAATGTGGGTGAACGCGAGCGATGAGATTGATATTTCAAACGTTATGACCTATTCACGTGGCAAAACTTTCTGTTCCCTCCATAAAATTCTACCCAAAATTGGTGCCAATGAGTAATCTCCTCTTTTTGAGTTGATGTTTGGCAAACATTCAATCACCGCAGCCTCGATCAGTTTTCGTCGATTTTTCCCCTTTCCGCTCCATAGAACTCTTGCGTCTTTCCACTTTGGTAAATGGTTTTGTTCCTCTATATGAATAACGAAAGAGCTTGTATCTTTGTGGTTTCGAACGTCTCTTTTATGTTCGTCTATTCTCTTCTTCATTCCTCGATATGTTTCGCCTATATAAGATTTGGAACACCCCCCGCACGGAACTCTGTACACGACGCTGTCCAAACTTTCGTCCGCCGTTCTTTTCTTGATTATATCTTTAGTCTTAAGACCGGTCCTTTCCAGAAGTATGACGCCTGCCTGTCTTAAGGCCTTAGATATGATGTCTGTATTTTTGCTGCCTGGTACTACTATCGTTCTATGGTGTTCTCTTTTTCTTTTGTTCAGTGACCCAGATGACCTTCTTCGTATTTGTTTTGCTCTTCGTAGGCATTTGATTAAGAACGCCTTTGGATATTGAAGTTTTTTAAATGAATCGAATATGTGATCGATCTCGTCATCGATGTAATCGGGACTGCAAATCCGATACGCGCGTAAGAAAAAGCCAATCACCACCCCGGATTTCACCCTTTCACCGTGTGCCGAGAGATAGTGTATATAATCTTCACGGTTTGAGCTCTTTCTGTAGACTTTGTATTTCAGGTTTTTCCCACTCTTGATCATGAGAATGTCCAGGAATGGCAGCATGCCATCATTCTCAACTTCAAGTGTGAATTGGATGTTTCTTTCAACTTCGTTCAGTTGCTGGAGCTTTAACGTGAGATCAGTATCTTCCGGCACCACTACAAAGACATCATCGACGTACCGGTACCAAATGGTCTCAGTTCCCATGACATGTTTGAAATGATCCTTCTCTAGCATTTCCAGGTAGAGGCAGGCCGCAACTGGACTGAGGGGCGATCCCATTGCTAGGCCGCTCACTTGCGCATACTCTTTGTCATCATAAGAGAAAGCCTGGAACCTGAGGCAAAGCTCCACCAACTTTAAGAAGTCAGGCTTGGGAAGTGGAAAATCGTCTGTAGGAAGGTCTTTGATAGCAGTTTTGATGGCTTGGAGCGCGCCTTCTACCGGCACGTTCGTGAACAATGCCTTCACATCAAAGCTGGCTAACGTCTTGCCGCTGATATCAAGGTTGCTCAAACGGTTCAATAGATCTCCTGAATTCTTCAAGTGGCTATCAGTAATGGAACCTAACAGCTTGGTTAATGGTCTCGCCAGAACCTTAGCGAGGCGGTGGGGCGCACTACCAATACCCGAGTCATTTGACACCATTGTCATTTCTTCGGCAGATAAGGGCGGTGGCATAATAGTCTTAGACAGAAGTGACTATGACCAGAAAATGAACACTTTATTGGAAGATGAACAGACATATGCGAAGAAGAAAGCAGGTTTTGTCAAAAAGCAAAGTGTTCAATTTAATCAAAGTGCTAGGAAGATTCTGAGAAGATCCGAGCGTGGCAAAAATCTGCAACACCTATTGGAGCAAGACCCGAAGGCACCAAAAATGCGGGGGTTACCCAAAATACACAAAGAAGGGGTTCCAATGAGGCCGATTACCTCGGGTATTGGTAGTGCGCCCCACCGCCTCGCTAAGGTTCTGGCGAGACCATTAACCAAGCTGTTAGGTTCCATTACTGATAGCCACTTGAAGAATTCAGGAGATCTATTGAACCGTTTGAGCAACCTTGATATCAGCGGCAAGACGTTAGCCAGCTTTGATGTGAGGGCATTGTTCACGAACGTGCCGGTAGAAGGCGCGCTCCAAGCCATCAAAACTGCTATCAAAGACCTTCCTACAGACGATTTTCCACTTCCCAAGACTGACTTCTTAAAGTTGGTGGAGCTTTGCCTCAGGTTCCAGGCTTTCTCTTATGATGACAAAGAGTATGCGCAAGTGAGCGGCCTAGCAATGGGATCGCCCCTCAGTCCAGTTGCGGCCTGCCTCTACCTGGAAATGCTAGAGAAGGATCATTTCAAACATGTCATGGGAACTGAGACCATTTGGTACCGGTACGTCGATGATGTCTTTGTAGTGGTGCCGGAAGATACTGATCTCACGTTAAAGCTCCAGCAACTGAACGAAGTTGAAAGAAACATCCAATTCACACTTGAAGTTGAGAATGATGGCATGCTGCCATTCCTGGACATTCTCATGATCAAGAGTGGGAAAAACCTGAAATACAAAGTCTACAGAAAGAGCTCAAACCGTGAAGATTATATACACTATCTCTCGGCACACGGTGAAAGGGTGAAATCCGGGGTGGTGATTGGCTTTTTCTTACGCGCGTATCGGATTTGCAGTCCCGATTACATCGATGACGAGATCGATCACATATTCGATTCATTTAAAAAACTTCAATATCCAGAGGCGTTCTTAATCAAATGCCTACGAAGAGCAAAACAAATACGAAGAAGGTCATCTGGGTCACTGAACAAAAGAAAAAGAGAACACCATAGAACGATAGTAGTACCAGGCAGCAAAAATACAGACATCATATCTAAGGCCTTAAGACAGGCAGGCGTCATACTTCTGGAAAGGACCGGTCTTAAGACTAAAGATATAATCAAGAAAAGAACGGCGGACGAAAGTTTGGACAGCGTCGTGTACAGAGTTCCGTGCGGGGGGTGTTCCAAATCTTATATAGGCGAAACATATCGAGGAATGAAGAAGAGAATAGACGAACATAAAAGAGACGTTCGAAACCACAAAGACACAAGCTCTTTCGTTATTCATATAGAGGAACAAAACCATTTACCAAAGTGGAAAGACGCAAGAGTTCTATGGAGCGGAAAGGGGAAAAATCGACGAAAACTGATCGAGGCTGCGGTGATTGAATGTTTGCCAAACATCAACTCAAAAAGAGGAGATTACTCATTGGCACCAATTTTGGGTAGAATTTTATGGAGGGAACAGAAAGTTTTGCCACGTGAATAGGTCATAACGTTTGAAATATCAATCTCATCGCGCGCTCGCGTTCACCCACATTGAATCGTGTGTGTTCATTATCTGTATTGTATCAATGTATTGATAAAGAAATAATCGAAACGCGTTTACATTGAATACAGATAAGAATTTGATATTGTTTTTCATTAAAGTAAACATCCTAAGTAATGTTACGCGTAGCCTAACTCTGACTCAAGCTGGGTGTTTTGTGATTGTTCCCGACCTACCAAGTGCAGGCTTCACTTACATGCCCGATAAGCGAATTTATCATGAACAAAACAGGCGTCAGATGTTTTAGGGCGTTATGTTTAACCCGCGCGGGGCTGGGGTCTCCAGCCGAACGCGCGGGGCTGGGGGGGGGGGTAAATTTTACCCCCCCTGTTATCTCCCGAACTAATGGTTCGATTTGGAAAATTCAAACGCCAATCGAAAGATCTCATCACGAACAACTATAAACATGTACTTAATTTTAAGTTTAAGGTCAAGGTCAAGGTCAGGTCAAGGGTACAAATTGCAAGTTCCTACAGTATCGGCCTTGCACCGTAGTTGCCGAAGAATGGAGTCATGGACTGAGACTGATCGCCCAAAACGTGTTCTTAGGCTACCAAGACAATATTCGTTGCAAACAATATCATTCAGAGGTCAAGGTCAAGGTCAGGTCAGGTCAGGTCAGGTCACCAAAAACAAAATATAGAAAAGGGCATGTGCGACACATGTTTTATGGGTCATTTTACTCATAGAATTCAATAGGCACACTCAATAAGTGATATGGACCACCTCTGGATGAATTTCAGGTCAAGGTCAGGTCAAGTGATGTCAAATTTTGAAGTTGGTTGCTAAGGCCTAAAAAGGTGTCTATCTGATACAGTTTTTCACGGCGAGTCGAATGGTGCTATTTTTGTTTCCGTACGAGGTCTAGAACTTCCAAAAAAGTCATTTTTCAAAATTTTTGTGTGTCGTGACGTCATACAATTTTGAATAACTCCCATATTTTTGAACCGATTCTTCTAAAACTTTATATGTAGGTACACATAGACCACTTCTCTGACATATATTCCGGTTTTTTCGATACACTCAAAATTTTGGATTTTATAGCTATTTTCCCAAAAAAGTCAGTTTTTTGGAAAAATTTGGGCCAAAATCCAAAATTTTCAAAAAACCGAGATAGCCATTTGATAGACAAAGTAGAATTACGTATATCCTTTTTTGTTACGGCTTGATTCCTTTATAAATGAAGATGTTAGCGGCGTTTGAACTTTTGCCGTTTTTGAGGCGAAAATGGCGAACATGACGTCACTAAAACGTCAATTTCTCAAAAAATTTCCGACGGATTTCGCTCAAATTTTCAGGGAACGTGTCAAATTGATGTAAGAAAAGGTACTGAAAGTTTGGCGGCGCTGCGCGCCGCCGTTTTTGAGATATTGCAAAAATTCGCGAGGGGGGGTAAAATTTACCCCCCCCAGCCCCGCGCGGGTTAAAGTATACGAGGTTTGAAACGCTTATAGTGATTTCAAACTCCCGAATGCG